ACACACACACCCACACACACACCCAAACCACACATACACTCACACGCACACACCAACACACACACACCCACACCCACACACCCTCCAACCCACACACACATTCACACGCAGACACCAACACACACACACACATATCCACACCCAACGCACTCCAACCCACACACATATCCACACGCAGACACCAACACACACACACACCCCAACACTCTCACACACACATGCATGCACGCAACCCCCCAGTTCCTGGTTTTATTTCCATTTTATTGACCAAAGTCTATCCCAACTTCCCTGAAGCTTTTGACGGGTTACGCAGAGCCTAAAGCAATGAGTACAGGCAGCACAACAGTGTCATTACAGCCAAGTGACATGGGCATCCAGGATGCTGAGACCATCCAACTTGGCATTTGGTCCTGGCCATCCATGTGCATGTGTGTATCAGTGTATCAGAGCTGTGAGGGTTGCTGCCATCTTCTTTGAAGTCACCATCAAGACTTATCCACAAATAGCCACATTTCTTTTTATTATTTTGGAGAATTTGAGCCTCACTGACTGGGCAAAATTTTATTGCCCCTCCTTAATTGCCCTTGAGAAGCTGTTGGTAATCCACCACCCTGAACCGCTGCAGGTCATGTGTTCTAGGGGCACCTACAGTGCGGTGACGGAGGGAGTTCTAGAGTTTTGATCCCATGCTAAGTGAAGGAACAGTGATGTAGTTCCAAGTCAGCAGTGGAGGGGAGCTTGAACGTGGCAGTGTTGCCACGAATCTGCTGACCTTGCCCTTCTAAGTGGTAATGTTTGTGATTTGGAGGGTGCTGTCAAAGGAGCTCTTTGGTGAGTTGCTGCACTGCAGTTTGTGTACATTACAAATTGCTGCTAGTCTGCAGATGGCACAGCATTGTCAGCTCCTGTGGAGTTCAATCACCAGCAATAATTAGCCTCTTCAGGGAGAAAGGGGGGAACAACAGAAAAGAAAATTGTGAAGCCACTGAATATTGACCCAGCGCATCTTCAGTTGTGTGTTTGCCACAGGAGCAGACTGACAGTTGCTCCCATGCTTACTGTTCACTGCTCAGCTCTTACAAAACTGAATGGCAGGGGGAAGGTTGAAATGTGACTCAGTCTGTTATACAATCATAAAGACATAGAGATGTATGGCACAAAAACAGACCCTTCAGTCCAACTCGGCCGTGCCAGACAGATATCCTATATTAATCTAGTCCCATTTGCCAGCATTTGCCCTTATCGTACTAAACCCTCCCTATTCATATACCCATCCAGACGTCTTCAAAATGTAGTAATTGTACCAGCCTCCACCACTTCCTCTGGCAGTTCATTCCATACACGCATCACCCTCTGTGTGAAAAATTTGCCCTTAGGTCCCGAATTAATTTTTTCCCCTCTCACCTTAAACCTATGCTGTCTAGTTTTGGACTCCCCTATCCTGTGGCAAAGACCTTGACTATTCACCCTATCCATGCCCTTCATGATTTTATAAACCTCTATAAGGTTACCCCTCAGCCTCTGACACTCCAGGGAAAATAGTCCCAGCCTATTCAGCCTCTCCTTATAGCTCAAACCCTCCAACCCTGGCAACATACTTGTAAATCTTTTCTGAACCCTTTCAAGTTTAACAACATCTTTCCCGTGGCAAGGAGATCACAACTGAATGCAGTATTCCAAAAGTGGCCTAACCAATGTCTTGTACAGCTGCAACATGACCTCTCAACTCCTACACTCAATGCACTGACCAATAAAGCCAAGCATACCAAGCATCTTCTTCACTACCCTGTCTTCCTCCGACTTTCCTGTAGACTGAAGTTACCAATTTAAATTTGACATTCCTAAAAAGGGTAAAAGTTCTTGAGGTCTCATAGGGTAGCATCTGGGATGCCTTGACTTAATACCCCAGGCACTTCCAAGCATGGGCCACTAGATTGTGATCAGGAGCAGGAACCCTGACTGAAGATTTTTCCTATTGCATCCCAATGTGCTCTAGGCCAACAACCCCTCACACTTTGCAAATGCACCTCCCCCACGCTCTCAAACAACTAACATGATTGAAGTGAGCTAATTCAGCACCAACAAGGAAAAGAATCTGGAAATTGTCTAGTATATGCGACTGCATCTAACCATTGCCTTGCTTAGAGGAGATGGCAGGCTAAAAGGCATCAATGTAATAATCAGCGACAGGACAAAGTTTGGGTGAGTGCCATCTGAATAATTTGGACGTGGCACAATGTTGTGGATATTGAGGGGGAGGTGAGAGAAAGACTGCTCTGGCCACGTTCAATCAAACATATGTTCACCGTTACTTTACAGAATGAATTACACATGATTTTCTAAAACAAACAGGGGCCCATTCTGCCTTTATTTGTGTAACACTGATACAGGCGAACATCTGTTTCCTGGACCTTTAAACCCTGTGCTGTGTAAGATGGTAATGTTGACCTTCTCGTTGGTTTTGTTGCCTGGTTAATATGATTATAGCTTCCAAGAATTGTACACTTCTTTTTTCTCCCTTCCTCTCCTTTTGACGAATCACCAACTCGATAAACAGCCCAGGGGCCATCCTCTGAAGATCGGTATAAACCAAGTTCATGAACGATTGGCTCTTGCTTCAATTTACATGCTTCTGTACTTTAAACAAAAATTAGGGCAAAATGAGATTTTCGCTCATCGTATTGTTTCTCTTGTGCGTACGGCAGGGTGCTCAGGAAGAAGCAGAGCACACTGCTTGTGTTTAAATTAAAGGCTCTGAGTTCCATTTTCAGCCTTTGTAAGTGCTCTGCTGTAACAGTGACCTCATTCAGCTCCCCATTCCACTCCTGTCTCAGCTGCTACTGTCTTTACAGAAGTCACGATTGATAGAAAAGACCACTCAGCCCATCTAATCTCAACCATACAGATTCCTGGACTTTTCCCCACTTTAGTAAAGAATAGTTTCTCTCAAATATTCAGGTGTTTATTCCAATTGGAGCCTATCCCACACACTATACTAAGATTTATTGTCAGTTTTTCTTTTAAATTATTTCTCTTGTATTGATCTTAAATTGACATTTCTGAAGAAGAATCACTAGACCTGGAACATCGTCTGTGCTTTCTCTTCACAGGTGTCGCCAAACCCACTGAGTTTCTCCAGTAATTTCAGTTTATGTAAATTAACATTTGCTGTTTTGAAACTGTCCCATTGTCCAACTCTCACAATGTTAACTTGAGGCTATATTCTGCATTTATGTTTTCTTCATTATCTGATGTATTGCAGTAAGATTGATATGCAAACGCAACATTTTTCCAGTCAAGCTCTCTGCTTCTGTTGCCTAGAAAAACACGTCTTTGATCACCGTGCAACACAAATATGCAAATGTGCAAAATAGGATCTTAAATAGACAATTCAGGCCCTTACACATTTATTAAGATCATGGTTAATCTATTTGTGTTCCAAAATCCACATTCCCATCTATCCCCGATGCTCTTTGATACCCATTTCAACAGGAATCTATCCACCAACACCTTAAAAATATTCAATGTTCCCACTTCCACCACCCTAGTTCCGGACTCACCCACAAGAGGAAACATCCTTTACACACTCACCCTATCAAGACTGTTCAGAATCTCATACATTTCAGTCCAGTCACCCTTCACTCCTGTTCTTCCAACCATCAAGCTCAACTTACTGGGATGTCAGTAAGTTAGAAAAAACACCTTCTCCAAGTGTTAAAGATTCTTTTAAGATGGCAGGATTGAGAAATGAGTAAAGATCAGACAGGCAGGATTACATTTCATTGGAAAATAGGGGGCTGAGGGCAGATTAAATTGAAATGTATGAAATTACAAAATCCCGATAGTGTGGAAGTATGCCGTTTGGCCCATCAAGTTCACACTAACCCACGAAAGAGCATCCCGCCCAGACTGACCTCTCTACCCTATCACTGTAACCCTGCATGTTCCATGGCTAATCCCCCTAGCCCTGGAGACTATGGACAATTTAGCCTGGCCGCAATCCACCTAACCTGTACATCTTTGCACTATGGGAGAAAATCCACACAAACACAGGGAGAATGTGCAAACTCCACACAGACAGTCGGCCAAGGCTAGGAACAAACATTGGACAGCGCTGCTGTGAGGCAGCAATGCTGACTATTGAGCCCTTGTGCCGTCCCAAAGATACCATGGCAGCACAGCATTTTCGCAAATGAAGATACGCATCATTACATATGTGATTGGAAGCTTGCAGGCTTGGTCGGTCTGGAGGGACCTAGATCGAGTTGATAGGAAGGATTTGTTTCCCTTAGCAAAGAGGTTAATAACTAGTGGGGTTAATTTTAAATAATTGCTAGAATGATGAGAAAGGCACTTAGGAGAAGGTTTTTCACTTAAAAGGTGGGGAAGCGTCGATTCACTATCTTGTAGAGCAGGGGAGGCAGGAGAATTCATTTTTTTCGGCAGGCACATTTGGGCTGAATGGCCATCATTTGCACCATGAATTATTTCCATGTTGTGAGTGGGAGGAACATATATGCCTCATTAAGTACCTCAACTGATAGATCCTATTAGACTTCACATTTAACACCCGCCCATGGATAGTCTCTGCTGGATTCTATCGGCCAACTAATTATGAATCAATTTCTAAAAAAAAATCCATCAATTCACACGTTTATTTCAGCTTCAGTACCAGCCTTTGACCAGGAGCAAAGAGCAGCAAAATCACAGTGGTAATCAGCATTGGTAACCACGTGCTTCTCAGCTGCTGCCAGTATTTCATCTGCAGCAGGATGAGTGTAAATCAGAAATGATTACTTTATTGTCTTCTTCCAGACTGGGAGATTTTTGTTTAGCAGGTTTCGATTTTCGAAGCAGCAGCAAACAATGTTTATTAATCCCTCCCCAAATGAACAATGAGTCTCCCAAACACAAATGCTTCATTTCAATTTAATGGAAATACTCCTTTAGCCATTTTCTTGCATTCCTCATTTTGCTTTCACCTTTCAATTCCTTCATTCTCTCACTTGCTTCATTCTTTTCTCTTTTTGATGTTTTGATCCGTTTTCTTCCTTACTTTGCTTCATCGTTGTTCCTTCCATTCTCTTTGCAGCTCTCTCGGTATGAGGTAATATACATATCTTAATTGATTTAGAATATCTGCTTCAGTGACCCTTGTACCAAATGTTGGATATTTCAGTGTTCTTTTTGAGAACGCTGATTACAGATTTTTAAATAAAGCTGAAAGCCTCACAGTCAAACTGATCAGCAAGAAAACAATGCAACTGACTCATTCTTAGGCAAAGGGATGGCCAATTCAGAGTGAGATGAGGAGACATTTCTTTATTCAAAGGGTTGTGAAACCTTAGAATTTTCTGCTCTAAAGGGTTGTGGGCTGTGATACTGAGAACATTCATACTGAGGATATTAGGGATTATGGGGATAGGGCTGGAGGTATAAGGTGAAAGATCAAGTAATATCTCAGGAATGGATCAACCTTGATAGGCCAAATGGCAAACTCTTGTACCCGTTTCTTTTTGGGGATTTGGTAAGCTCAGTTAGCTGGATGGCTGGTTTGCAATGCGGAGTTATGCCAAAAGCATTGACTGAGGTCACAATGACAGTCCTCCCTTCCTGACCTCATCCCTCATCTGGGGTGTGGCAACCCTCCTGTCCACTCAACCTTAACATCAGGCACCTTTCTCTAATGACAGAGTGGGACTATGGCAAGTTTATTTTTATGAAATCTTGAAGAATATAAGGACAAGTTCTTCCTTTTTCCAGTCAGTCAGAGGGTTCAGACACCTGAAATGTTAACCTGATTCTTGTCTGTCCATAGAGGATAATGGATCCACTGCGTACCTCCAGCACTCTTTGTGTTTGTGTCCTTTAAGGGCAACCAATTCCTCCTGAGGTAGAATGATCATGTTCCCAGTGACTGAAGGTCAGTGGGGAAAAAAAAATACCCTGGTGCAGAGAGATTTTCTTACCTACTTGGGAATGTATGTGATCTGAGGGAATCACACCACAGAAAGTTACCCAGCAGAAGGTCAGTTGTTCCTCTTGCATAACTGTCCTCTATTTCCTCCAGCCTACATATTCTGCAGGAGCAACAACTTGCTTTTTTACAGAGGCTCTGACATAGTAAAGTAACCCAAGGTCACTTGCAGCAGCATAACTTTGACCCTGAACCATGGAAGGAGATTGTAGGAGAGATAACCAACCGTACCAGTAATGATATAGGTTTTAATGAACATCTTAAAGAAACAGAGAGCAATAGAGAGGCAAAAAGTTTTAGAGAAAGTTTGGGGCCTGGGCAGCTGAAAAAAAAACGCAAACTAACAAGGCACAGTGAGAAAATTCAAGCTTACAAGAAGCCACAGTTGAAGGTACAAGGATACCTTGGAGGAGGTTGCAGAGATAGGCAGGGGTGAGTCCATAAAAGGATTTGAAAACTTGAGGATTTTAAAAAAGAGATGTTGCCAGATCAGGAGCCAATATATGTCAGTGAGATGAAGGTGAGGTGATAGGTGAACAGAACTTGGTGTGAGTCAGCATTCCAGCAGCGGACGTTTGAAGGATTGGAAAGCAGACCTTTGAACTGTTAGTGCTTCCCCGCAACACTGCGGCTGGTCTTCAGCTCCACATCAGGATTCATGAATTTTGAAGGGGAGTCAAAGAAATTTTCAATTTTTGCAGACACGCTACCATTACTGGGAAATGTGGCTTTGTGTACACAGCAAGAAAGGGAAAGATCAATACCAGGTCTGATATTCTTGACACTCAGGCAACCCGTGGTTCAGACTCACAGCAGGGCCTAGGGCTTTCCAAAGTTGGAGTTGCGAGCTGAAACCTTGGGGTCATGAGCTCGGGGATAGTAATGACCACTGGGGAGCTCTATCCAAGTTCGAACAGCTGCACAACTGCCCTCATGAACTCTCTGATCTCGTTGAGAGGTTGTGATAAATTTCAAGCCTCGAAATGGGAAGAGGTTTGGGAAGAGCCAGAGCTAATTGGCTGAGCCCATAGTGTCCATGGAGATATTCACAGTCAAAATGAATAGCTTCAGTAGAGAAAACTAGTGAAAAAGCTTTATCACCAGGGATTTTGTGCCAATTGTATTCTCTTTATATTTAGAATTGACCTATCAAGATTGCAAGAAACCTCTTGTTTATTTATGCTTGATTGAATCCAGTCATTGGCTGAAATCAATTTGCTCTTTCTAGATATAATCATTACAATTTTGAAGAGAGACAGAAGTATTATTTAAATGAGCACCAACATCAACCTGACATTTTAGAATTTATTGCTGCTTTGAATGTTTATCTGTGCTGCAAGACTCCATCTGATGGGTGTAGACTTAAAGTCTGCTTTAGTTTCCATATTAAGTTAGATATGAGACTGTTGTAATCACTCTATCATTCAGTGTGAAATGACCTGACTTTAGTGATGAAGCTCCTTCCATCAAACGAGGAAATGGATTTGATCGGATGCAGCTCAGTTGTTATGTTGCATCAAAGTCTGGCAAATCAGCAATGCTGTATCATTGTTGCCTCAGTTTGTCAAATGCTTAATGGGATAGCTACACTCAGTTCTCCAAAGATTCAGCTAGCTGCTGATTTGCCTGGTGTTGGGGTGAGACGTTGCCCAGATTTAAC